TTAACTTGCTTAAATATTTTAGCAATGTTTTAAATATTTCATTAATATAATTTAAAATACTTGCCTTCTTACCATGAGATGTGGATAGGAAAAAGCAATGAATCTGTTATATTACAGTGAGGGGAATTTGGAATGTGCTTAAAACAAAATGCAGTTCTTTTCATTAAATTTCCCTGCTGGGCAAGTCACAAAAGATTCAAAAGTCTTTCAAACTGACTGGGTACCACCACCCACCACTCTTACCCTGTTTCAGTGTATCCAATTTGAGATACCTTAGAAGTTCATGGTTTTCAGAATACTTTCTCAGGAGCAATGCCTCTCCTGCATGAATAGTCTAGTACAGGAGTAGGCAAACCCTGGCACAGGTGCCAGAGCATGACACACAAAGGCATTTTGCTTGGCACTCATGCCTTGGGGCAGATGATGGGGAAGGGGCTGGCGCTGCGCCGCCCCCACAGCTGCGCTGCCACAACAAGGATCAGGCCCCTCACAACTCCCCTGGCAGGCCAACATCTTACAAGCAGAGGTTGCAGGTGTTTTTGGCACTCTGCCCAAAAATCATTGTTTACCTCTGATCTAGTATTTCTTCTCTTTTTTACATAATGTCCCTGGTACTTGAATAGCTCTGTTGCTTTCAGCAACAAAACAGTGATGTGACCTGTGCCTTCTTTTTCTCTAGCCAACTTACCCATCCTTTAGGTTGGTGGTGGCTGGTCCACAGGCTGGATCATAACCTGTACAACAGATTTGGTTGTACAAACAAATCTGGTGATTGGGGCCCAATTCACTGCATGCCTGAATTGGGCCCCATACCACCCCTACGCTGGCTCTGTCTGGCACCACAATCCAGGATTGGGTTCTGGGGCCCTGCACCACCTCTGCCTAGTCCCACATGCTAGGATTAAGCCCTGTGCCACTTCCACTTGGCCCCACATACCAGGAACAAGCCCTGTGCTGCCCTTGCCCAGCCCCATGTTCCAAGATTGGGTTGTGAGGCCCTATGTACCCTCTGCCAGCTCCGCATACAAGGTTTGGACCCCGGGGTCCTGCATTGGCCAAAGTTCTGGCATTGGGCTCTGGGACCCTGCATGCCAGGATTGGGCCCTGTGCACCCAATCTAGCACACAAGGCCATGGCCCATAGGGATCCCCGTTGGTCCCTGGGAAGCCCTGCAGGTCAGGTGACATGGCACTGTGGGGGCACTGGATCTAGCCCATGAGCCAGGGATTGAGTATCTCTCCGGAGGTGAATCACCTAGTACAGAACCAGTGTGGGTGACATTAAGCACCATCTCATCCTTTGGTTCCATCCAAAGAATGTCATAATTTGTCCCACTAGGTTTTAATTGTTTGAACAGATATTTTTTGCTACTTTCTAAGGTTTCTGTATCAATGGTGAATGATATAGGCCCTAAGAAGGCTCATAGTGAACATCAAGGTGCATGGACTTGTCCTCCAAAAATCCAGCCTTTTGATTTATACAAATAAAATGACTGTTTCCACTTGTATTTTCACAGTCATTTTCATGAATACAAATGCCTGTTGCACAAAATTAGAATCTAGAGCAGCTTTTAAATTTTCATAATTGTGTTATAATGGATTTTTTTAAAGATAATGCAGCTGAGCAAGGAAAGTAGCATGTTTTATTACAGAAGTTACAGACAGGGACTGCAAGGTCAGAGCAGAGAATGGATTGTTATTGCCTAGTCCTATTCTTGGGGCATGGGCAGATGAACAAGTTAAGGTGAGGTCAACAAGGGTAGAGGTCTCATTACTTTGTGGTAACTTCCTGTGTGTATGTGCTCTTATCCTACGATAAATGAAGGGTAACTAACTGAAAATGAATTTTATAAATTTGGTTCAAATTCACTAACTAGTTTTAGCCTGTGAAAAGAATGGCAGAGCTAGAAAACAGGAGGAACTGGAGTTATGCTGTAGGGCTGTGCGAAGCTCTGGGAGGAGATTTGGCCTGATTCAGCGGCCGAATCTCCAAATCTGAATCGAATCGGGAGACCCACTAAAAGGACTGAATTGAATCGGAAGCCTCCAAATCAATTCAGAGAGATTCTATGCCAATTTGGAGATTTGACTGTAGACTATACAGGCAGCAGTCCTCAATGATGCTGGACACAGCTGCCTCCAGCTGCTAAGTCTGTTGTGGTGGGCAGAAGGGGGAGGGGGGCTCCTGCCACTGCACACTGCTGTGCATCACCGGTCCGGGAGCTGCTCTTCTGGTGGCTCCCCTGAAGCTCTCACTGCCGGTTCAGGAGGGCATGGTAGCGGGCATGTGCCCCCGGATCTGCATGGGGTGGGCTGGGCTGGGCTGCGCTCTGGGAGGCTAGCCCTAGCCTCCCGCTGCCAGGCTGCATTCTGTGGGGCAGGTGGAACCAGGGCTGCACTCCGGGCAGCAAGCCCCTGCTGCTGGGTTGTGCTCTGTGGGGCGGGCGGAGCCAGAGCTGAGGGAGCTTGCCACCTGGAGCACAGCCCTGGTTCTGCCTGCCCCAGCCCCAATCCCTCCCTCACTCTGGGGGCGTTGATCTGGCCCCCCCCACGCCCTTTCCCTCCCCCCTCCACCCACCTCAGTAGACTTACCAGCTGGAGGCAGCTGCATCCAGTGTCGTTGAAAATTGCTGCCTGTATAGTCTATCAAATAGTCTATAGTTTGTATAGTTTATCGACTGCTGCCTGTGTAGTGAAATCTCCGAATCAGCCAAATTGAATCGGGACAGTGATTTGAATCACTGAATCAAATCACTGTCCCTCCAAATTGGCCGAAACCGAAGCAAATACTTGCTGCTTCACATAGGCCTATTATGCAGCAACTTAGGAGCTAGAGCAGTCACCTACAGAATGGGAAACTCCTGCTGGAGGCTGGTTTAACTCATATTACCTTTATCCACATGTGAGTTTCCTAACTACCAGGTTGAGTAGCATTCAGCTTTCTTTCTGGATGTTTACTTGTAATGATTATTTGAGCATTTTATAAAAAGTTGAACAGCTCCAACAGACCTACCTCAGGAGGCCCTGCATTGTACAGACTACACTCCTCTGAGAAGTCTGATTTCAGTTGCTGCTTTCGAAGAATGTCTTGCTCCTTCTCCAGTAGTTTTGTGTTATAGCCCTGTATTTTCTCTGCTTTTCCTACAAGAACCTCAAACAAGCATTCTGTTTCTGGACAGATGGGATGTTTTATGCAGAACAAAATGTGATTTTCATTTTGGCAAAGAAAACAAACAAACAATTTTAAAATATTTTATGTCCAAACACATTATTTTCATTGTTTTGTTTTGACCCCCCAAATCAAAAAGCAATTATTTGTACAACACTATAGATGCCTGTAATATTATTTTAATAATTGTTTCTTTGTTGCTGTCTTTTGCCAGAGGAATACTAGCTGAGCAGTATCCCAAATTGCTCTTTGACATGATGCCAATCATTTGGATAAAACCAAGTAAGTGAAGTTGGTTTGAAACAAATGTTTCCTTGGGTTATAATGCAGTATGAAATGGCAGCAACGTGTTTCTTTCTGCAATCAAAGACCAACCTTTGTCCCCCACCAGATAGCCCAAATACAAATAAAGATCTATATATTTGACCTTGACTTTTTAACCTGCCTAAACCCAGTCTTTTATTTGGTATTTATCTGGTCAGTGTCTCTCTTTCTCCTTTTCCCCACAAAGATTTATTTGGTCTGAACTGGAACAAGATGGAGCTAGTGAGGCAAATATATTTATGTAAATCAGTTTCACTATCTACTAATTGGATCCTTAGGCAAAACAACTGACTTGCCAGCAGAGCATGTTTTTTTTTTAAATCTTGACTCTGATGAGGTCAGTGGGACCTTGTAGTTGACTTAAACAGGGCCAAGATTTCCCCCACGTTTGCTCAGAATGTTGTTAGTGTCTGCGGTTGTCCAGGGTTGGCTAAACTTTTTTAGTTTTGCATCCTTCAGCTAGTTCCACCTTTCTTTGATCAGGAGCAGTACACTGTCAAAAAATGCACATGTATTTTTTAAAACAACATTCTTCACCATAACCTAGTTTCAGCTGAGCTGTAACTAGCTACCAGGCAGCCCACCCCTTCTTCTAATCTGTGCCTCCTGTTGACATCGGAAGAAACCTCACTGAACTTCATTTCTGTCAGAAGAGCATGATTTAAGTCTATCCAAGTTATGCATAAACAATCTGGACACACTGTAAATTCCCATGGAGTTATGGCCTTGGAATTCAAATGACTGTGTTTAAGTTCTGTAGCAGCTGAATCAAATTTTCCTAGCTTTTACATATAAAACTAGTGCATCTACTGGCTTTTAAAACTATAACCCCAGTATTTGAATTAAATGCTTTGATTATGCTATGCCTATTTAGATTTGAATACCTCTTAAAGATTTGAACAGCAGCTAGGGCCATAGAAAAACCTTCATTCCTGTTGTAAGGAAACAAAAACAAGGAATTTCTTTTTTTAAGTTAAAACAAATAGCTAATTTTTAGCAAATAGCTAAGAATGGTAAATTAGAGTAAAAATTTGATGATTTTCTGCGATACGCTATACCTGAAAGATTTAATTTATGGTTTTGTTTCTTCTTTTTGAAGATAAAAAATCAGACATAAAGAAATCTAATGCCTACATTTGTCCACTGTACAAGACAAGTGAGCGTAAAGGAACCTTATCAACTACTGGACATTCCACTAACTTTGTCATTGCGCTGTTGCTAGACACTGATCAACCAGTCCAGCACTGGATCAAGCGAGGTGTTGCTCTGCTCTGCCAGCTGGATGACTGACTTTGAGGAAATCAGATTCAAATGTCACCATATATGTCTTGCTCTTTCTCCAGGGTACAGGAAATACAGCATGCTGTGTCAAAGGGACAGCTTTATATTTTGGAGCTCCAGTAAACTTTTTCTTAATCCTTAATATTTTTAATTAAATGAATATGTGATGTTACTTACTACTATCTTTGAAATGAATCTGGTGTATTCATTTGATACATTTTCAGCATAGGATCCCGTGCAAGTGTACAGGTGTTTTTTGTTCCCTCTTTTAATATTGCAAAATTATCTTGAGGAAAAAGTGAAAACTGTTTGATCTCCTCTATGGGAAGCTTTATAGTACTAGAGAACTTCAAATGTCCAGATGCACCAGCATTCAAGCATCCAGATGCACAAGCAGACTCTCAGAAATATAGCTTTCTCCATCTCTGCCATTATGCCAGGTTCCAGCAGAGGGACAAACTGGAATGTGAATACACACCTGATTCAAATAGTGAAAAAAAATACAGAAGCTAACTTTCTGTACCCAATGCTAAAAATTTCCTTTATATGAATATATAAAAACTTGCAAAGCCCCATAGCTTTTGATACATGGCATTCATCTTAGCCTAGGTTTATCCTCACTCCATGTACACATGAGTATTTATATTTATAATTTTTTTATGAATTGCATTAACATGAAAATTATAGTTGGACAGGTTGTGAACAATTTCTATTGTAGTATTTTTCTTTTAAAAACATAAAACATTCATTTTGCTGTATTATTATTTTCTTTATGTTGATTTACACTGATAAGCATTGATGATTTATTCAAACTCTTGAGTTTGACCTTGTAACAGGGAACAAAGGCTCCTTTACTTCAAGGCTAGGGACAAACATTCAAAAGCCTGACCCTGAATTGATTCAATCTTTGCAGGTTAGTCTAACCTGACTAGGCTAAACCAGTTTGTAACAGTACAGACATCCCAGAAATGCAGGCACATGCCTGCAGTGGCTCAGGCTAGAAGCAAGGGGGGGGGGGTTCCCTTCCATAGTGCTGAGCTGGGGCGGGGGTGTGGCCAGGCCCCGGCAGGACACTCTGATTAGGGAGAGGTTCCCCCCCACACACACACTTCTGACCAGCCCAGCAGGGAATTGATAACTCAGTGTTTATCACCCCATTAGGAAAACAAAAGAAGGACATTACTAGCTACATGTTGATTCTGCCTTTGTTCCGTCTAGCACAGCATGGACTGCACCCAGCATGTGGTATGCCAGCTAATGCTGAGAGGTGTCTGTATAAGGCAGAGGGGACAGGGAGGGGAGTGGAGGAACAGGGAGAAGCCAGGCAGATGCCTGCAGTCTCTCCTGGAGCTCCAGCCAGGGAGCAGAGGGGAGGGGCCAGGTCTGCTGTGGAGCAAAGAGCCCCACCCAGCCCAGAGAGCATGCCAGGATGCTGCAGGAGTCTGGTTTAACTTAAACCAGCTAGGTGTCTGGGACAGATATTGCATAAACTGGTTTGACCCAAATCAGTTAAGTCTGATACTACATTCAGCCAGGTTTATCTCAAACTGGTTTCAGCCATTTTCAAAGTGGTTTATGTGCACTGAACATCAGTTCTGTTACAGGTTTAAACCAGTTTCTGATCACTTAAACATGTCCATGTCCATCCCATCTCAGAGGAAGGCTAGCAAAAGGGCACAGCAACCCCCTTGGCTCAGTAGGGAACTCGTGGACCTCCTACACTTAAAAAGAGAGGCTTATAAAGGATGGAAGACTAGAATCACCACCAAGGAGTATTCTGCACTTGTCCATACCTTACGGAGCAAACCAGGAAAGCCAAGGCTGCAACCGAACTCCCTCTGGCTACATGTCAAGGACAATAAAAAGATATGCAGGGAGTCAGAAGAAATGCAAAGGTAACATTGGATCCCTCCTACACCAAATGGGACAACTGATAACTGACATCCAGGAAAAAGCCAACCTGCTTAATAGGTGCTTTGCATCGGTTTTTCATCAGCCCAAAGGGACTGCCCTGCCTAGCATGATGAGGAACAAGCCAGGGTGAGGGTGAATTTATACCTACCATTGATGTAGACCTTGTAAAGGAACACCTTGAGAGGCTGGACACCTTCAAGTCCACTGGTCCTGATAGATTACACCTCAGAGTACTTAGGGACCTGGCAGGTGTCATAGCCCAACCATTGGCAAAAATATTAAAAAACTCTTGGCGCTCAGCTGAAGTACCTGAAGATTGGAAGAAGGCCAATGTGTGGTGCTCATCTTTAAGAAAGGGAGGAAAGTAGATCTGGGGAACTACTGGCCAATCAGCTTGACCTTAATCCCCCATAAGATTCTGGAAATAATTATTAAAGAGACCATTCTTGACAAGCTGGCTGATGGCAACATCCTGAGGGACAGCCAGCATGGGTTTGTTGCAGGTAGGTCTTGCCTGACCAATCTCACCTCCTTCTATGACCAGGTGACACATCACCTGGATGAGGGAAAAGGGATTGATATCATATATCTGGACTTTTAAAAAGCCTTTGATCTGGTGTCCCATAATCTCCTCATGGAAAAATTGGCCAGCTGTAGCCTCGGCTACATCACAGTCCGATGGCTGGGGAATTGGCTCTGAGGTTGGACCAAGAGAGTAGTAGTTGACAGAAGTGAATCATTATGGTGCTCTGTGAGCAGTGGGGTTCCCCAAGTCTCCGTCCTTGGACCAGTTCTCTTTAATGTCTTTATCAATGATGTGGACACTGGCGTCAGAAGTGGACTGGCCAATTTTGCTGATGACACTAAACTTTGGGGTAGAGCATCCACACCTGAGGATAGGCTGGTGATCTAGGCTGACTTGGATAGGCTTAGAAAGTGGGAAGATATAAACCTGATGACATGCAATACTGAAAAATGCAAGGTACTTCACCTCATGATCAGAGGACAAGAGAATAGGCCTTATGAAGAGAGGCTGAGAGCCATGGGACTCTTCAGCCTGGGACAGCACAGGCTCACGGGTGACCTGGTAGCAGTCTCTAAGTACATAAGGGGTGTGCATCAGGATCTGGGGGAACATCTGTTCACCAGAGCTCCCCAATGGATGACAATGACCAATGGTCACAAACTCCTCCAAGATGATTTTAGGCTGGACATAAGGAAAAACTTCTTTACTGTCTGAGCCCCCAAGGCCTAGAATAGACTCCCACCAGAGGTGGTGCAGGCACCTACGCTAGAGAGAAGGGAAAAGAGGCAGGGTTGGCTGGATGATCTGACCTCAGAACTGTGCTAGAGTCCAGGAGCAACAGAGAAGCACCTTCCATCCAGGGGACTTACAGGCAACCTCCTGAGACAGCCCAATTCCATTGAGGCATGGCAGGCGAGTGAAAGAGATAAAACCTCAGAGGATGTGGGTTCAGTCTGCCACTAGGGGCTGCACTTGAGCCCCTATCATGTTGTGCCTGCTACCTGCGATTTCCTTTTAGATAAACTTCCAGTACTGAATCTCCTCCTCTTTAAACAAACTGTCATATACAGCATATAAAAAGGACTTTTCTTTAAATCAGATATAGAAAATGAACCTGTAACTTCTCTTAATATTATTAAAGGAATTACATCTGGAGTCTTATAGCAAGGAATCTGGGGTTTTAATCTCTTCTTTTACTGGTGTAGCCTGTAAAGTCATATCATGATAGCTAATGTATGTGTAAGAAACATGGAGAAAGTCCCAGAGTATCTTATGATCAAGTATTTATAGTGAGCTATTAATGGACATGAACTCTGCTGAGATCACTTTTCAATACATAAAAATATCACCTTCAACCTAAGATTCACTTGTTTGAAATGTGAAGTCTTTGGTGTTCTTTCAAAAGCAAAAAAAAGGTGAGGAAAACAATACATTTTTTGTGAATTTTTGTTAATTTTTTAATGCACTGTTTACCAAAAATATAATTATAGCTTTAAAATGTGTGTATATACTGGTGGTCTTTTGGTCAGTTTAATGAACTACTTATAAGGCAAATGCTTCCTTGTTTGCAGGTTTTACTAATTTATCTCTCTGCTACATATAGAGATATATATATTAAGTGTAGAGACATCTTAGGATTGTAAGTGTATATATATAATGGAGGGAATATATTATCCAAGCTTAATATGTATCCTTGCTGCTCAGCCTTAATATGTTTTAGGATTATTCCAACTAGTGCAAAAATCCTGTTGACATCTTTCATTCTGCCTAGCCTGTAGGTAAATGAGAATTAGTCCTGAAGTTCTTACTTAGTTTGACTCCCCCCTGGAAGGCAATATTGGGAGTTTTGTCTGTGTGAAAATGGGTGGTAGGATTTGACACTAACAAATTGTCCCTCAATTAATCAGTGTGTATCTAACTTTGCAAAAACAGCAATATGTGGAATTCACCTCTAACAGCAGCCAGATCTGCATTGTCACCCAAACCATGCTGCAGGAGGATGAGTCATCATTGCAGTCACTGTATTTTTATTTATCCGCTTTACCTTGAAAGCTGTGCTAAAGCTGATTGCTAATTGCAATTACTTCTCCTTTTTAGCTTCCTTTTAAAATGTATATTGATCTGTTTGATGATAATTAATTTCCATAAATCATTCAATCAAAACCAACTGCCACATTTTAAAAAGAGAATATTTGCCATTTTACTTTTTAATCTTCATTATTTTATGATTGTTGATAAAAGATTGAAAATAATTATTTTGACATAACTTAACCCTTTCCATTTGGCAAACTTCGATGTTAGTTAATAAGTGTCATTTCCCTATATTGCTAATGAAGGCCATATTAATATGATGCCTTTCTATTTATTCCAATAAACATTTATTCCACCAATGTTGATGTCAATGTACACCTGATGTACCAGGTAAGTCATTTATTTGGAGCTTGAAAAATGTTTACAGAAATACAGACACGTACTGACGATGAAGAGACACTTAGTGTTGTTCAGAGCAGCTTTAATCTTATTCTCCAAATGGGTCCTTAAGATGCACATTATGTGGATCAGACTACCTGGCAGTTTTCAGGTATACATTGTTTTGGTGTAGTTTCAGCTGGAAGACTCAAACATACAATCTAACATAGTTCTACAGTGCATTTTTTATAGTAAATTATGGCCTAGATGGTCCTCGGTGATCTATTAATTGACCCCCTTCCTCCCCCTGAAAACAATAGGAAATGTTTACTGGACATCCCCTCTTTCCTACAAAGGAAATATCTAGAATACGTAATACCATGGTCTACTAAGGAGAAGCAAGGAGGCAAAAAGCCTGAAGAGGGAGGAGTTATTAATATTACTAATGAATTAGGAGGTTTTGCTTCTTAATGTATTGGCATGATAAAGTACTGTAGCTATTCTAAATGTTTCTTCTTTACAGTGGGACAAGAGAAAAAGCTAGGGAAAACCAATGTACTGGAACATAATTGCTGTATTTTAGAAAATAACTGTTTGACTGTACAGTATTTAAATACTGGGGAGGAAGCCAGGGTATTGTTTCTGCATTTTTATTTATGCTTATTATTTCTTTCAGTACCTAAGTCCTCTGCAGCTGCTATTGTTGCCAGAAATCCAGAATTAATCTGATGATTTAAAAACTGCCTTCTAATAGAAGAGACTTGCTTTCCTTCACTGTTTGTGGTCCAAGTTGTGCAAATTTGACATGTATAATTCTACATATACACATGATGATGACTCTGATGATGAGATTGCTACTCAGTATGTTATCCAACAAAGCTTGCAGGATATCCATAGAAGTGAGACAGTTACAGATTCAGCAGAGACTGATAGGTAAACATGCATTGTTAACTAAATTCTGGTAATGTAAGCAGTATCTTTGTTGCAGTGTATGTAATAGTCTAGATGTGGGAGTTTTGTTACATGTAATGCTGCTCTGTAATGTTTACTATTCTCATCTTCTGGCTTAACATTGCTGAGAAGTACCTTTTAGTTACCCTTCCCTTTATACATACATACTATACAGGTGAGATATTTGAAATTTTCCCACTGAAATAAGAAACCAGGTGAATCTCACTTATCTTTGGGGTTTGTTGAAAATTTACATCACTAAGGTAACCAAGACTCCTAAGTTTTTCAGGTGACATTTTGCATCAAACTCCAAAGCAAATGTAAGGTCTAGGTAGAAAATATATATGATGCAGAAGAGAGTAGAACAGCAGTTTGCCCTTGTTTTGCCTTGATGTTTTAATATTAAAACCAAGTATTTTGTGCACAAACTAAGAATTCTTAGTACAGTAATATGTGGGCGGTGGGGTCGAGAGAGTTGTTGTTTTATGTGGACTGAAATTTAAAGGATGGTATTTATGTTTATAGTCCTTTAAAAATGTTAAACGTTAAGAATTATTGCTTATATTTGTATAAACTCTAACAAAGCAAAATTCCTGTGTTTTGTGCAGCTGTAGCATATAGTAAAATTTTTTCTTCTGTATTTAAACTAAGATCTAATAATAGTTTGGACTTACCCTTTTTATTGGCCCTGCTATGTAATGTAGGAACTGTTTATGAAAGAATATGAAATGCAGCTTCCCTGTGAAAGTGAATGTGTTTCATTGATTAGTCACAATAGGTAACTAGTGCTAAATGGGAAGATAACAGAAAATAAGTAAAACAAACAAGTAAATGTTTGAATATTTACACTTTAACAGACCAGAACGACTCTGATCTGCTAATAAGTAGCAGATAATTGCAGCATTTACTTTTTTAATCTTTGCTTTACTAATAAGTATTTCCCTTAACTGATTTGAATGATAACTATTTTTTCTTTTTGTTTATGCAGCTTTCGATATGTTACAAGCAAAGAACATGGGAAGATAATCACAGCTATTCGGACAGTTAAGTACAAACACAGAAATCATCCCTCCTCCACTCTCATTTGATTTGTGTGGGAAGTTGAGTTAGGGCTAGATCTGAAAAGAGACTTGGGCATTTCATCACCTAAATTTTAGGTGCCAAACTGTCTTGTAAAATCCACAGCCCAAGTTAGGTGTCCAGGCTCCCTGTACCATGCTTGGGGAGAGTTAAGTGCCTCAGAATGGAATCCATAAGAGCCAGCATGCTGAGTGGGAAGCTAAAGTAGCCAAAGCAAAACGTGCTGGGACTCTAGGTGTTTAATTCAGAGTGGAAAAAGGCATCTTCTGCCACTCAGGATTCATAGCTCTGAACTGTGTCCTAGATTTAGATGCCTCCTCACAGAAGAGGAGGAAGAGGGGAAAAAAGTGAAGGACCAATAGGTTGGTGGTCATACAGCTATAGGAGAAGCATCATCCTTTCTTCCTAACTGAAGGGCCTTTGAGCTTGTATTTCTCAGCATCCAGGAGAGTGGCAAAACTACCAGGCTTCAGAGTATTCTCCAGTTGCAGATGTATCACACTGTGTGCAATAGTTAAATACTTAGTGGCTCTGAGAAAGGAGAAGAGAAATTATTATTACTGGTCAAAATTCTCGCCTGAGAGGACAAAGTGCTGAGTTCCAGTCCCTGCTCCACAGACGTTTCTGTTGTTCAGCCAATGACTAGTCAATGTAAATTGTATGAACAGACCTTGGAGCAGGGAGTGCAATACTGGACTCTTCCCTCCTGGATGAGTGCCTTGATCAATAGGCTGGATCAATAATTATGCACCTTCTTGTCTCTCTTTGGCCCAAAGAATCTTGAATTCTTTGCTGCATGTTGCAACAACTTCCAGGGCAGGTGGAGAGTTCCCTTTCAGCTTTGCCAGTAGTTTGGTGGCTAGGGCACTCTTCTGGAAGGCAGAAAATGTGGGTGTGAAATCCTGAATCCTGTCTTGCTAAAGATCCCATGTTCCTGGTGAGATCCCAAACTGAAGACCCGACTGTGAGGCTGTTAAAGACAGCACTTGTAGCACAAGCTGGGGTAGTAAAAGTAGCTCTAGAGTCCTGGTCAGATTCTGGACTTTTTTTCTTGCCAAAGTGAAAGTGCTTTGTGCTGTTAACCCTCTCTCATGTTCTACTTCAGAGGGGGCAGTATTTCAGATTTTTCTATTTTTTTTCACATGCATTATAAGCATATAACTCTGGTTAGACAGTTTGTGGAAGGAAGACGAGCCTAATCAGTACCATTAGTGATGCACTACTTTAAACTATTATTTGATAGAAAGCTGTTCTGAGAAGCTGAAGCCTGTTCTAGTGGGACTAATGGGATTAATGGTCCTCAAAATACTCCTTGGTCTCACTGGATCTTAGACTCCAATGCTTTCTGCTTAATAATACGGATATGAATCAATACTTCATAGGCCAAGAAGAAGTCTTGCAGAAGTTAATGAGGCACCATTCTGCTTTTAAGGAAGCAGATCACCAAGGCTGGCTTCCTCTGCATGAAGCTGCAGCACAGTTAAACAAGAACATCCTAGAAATAACTCTGAAAGGTAAACAGCCATCTGTGTTCCCTGTGTGAAGAGGTTTGCTAGGTCAGTTTTGACGATTGGTTCTTTTTTCAAACGTGCAGTTCTCATGTGTATCTTTCAGCCTCGCATCCTGTTGTGTGGGAGCAAACCAATCTGAAAGGAGAAACTCCTCTCTTTCTGGCAGTAGAAAAATGCTTTGTAGACAATGTCAATTTTTTCCTGGTCAATGGATGCAACCCCAACATTAAGAACGAAGAAGGAGACTCTTCTCTAGTTATAGGTAAATCATAACTTTTCTTGTTGGGTAAATTATATTTGATGTGTTATTGAGTGATTTCTACTTAACATCTTTTGATGTTGGCTGAAAAAATGTATTAAAAAATCCTGTATATTAAAGGTTAATCTATTTGCATTGACTTTGAAAAAGACAAAGGAACACAGTCTGTTTTTTCATCTCAGTGACAATGGTGCTTTAGCAGGGTCCTCAGTCCACACTAAAGCCTAATGCCCACTGTGTTTGGAAACATGAGTTAAACTCCCAACCGTATGGTTAAACAGGTTTCCTCAAGTAGATCTGACTGTAGTGAATATGAGCCATATATAAAGCTAATTGGAGGTGGTGAATCTTCTCAAATAAGATAAGCAGTTCTGTGAATCTTTCCTTAAGAAGCCAGCCTTTTTTCCTAAGAGCAGATATTTTTTCAGCATTTCTGCACTTTTGGAATTTGGCCAAGAGTAGCAGGCAAAATGTCACAATATTATGAGACAATCTGTTTTGGAGAGACACCTTATTGGAGGTCTGAAATGGTTCTAAAAGTAACCAAATACTTTCTCAGACACAAAAAAATCCTATAGGTTTTGAGTTTAACCACATCATTGCTTTGAATGATAAATGATGGATACTTCCTTCCTGCCATTAAATGGAGACAGAAAGCACAGACAGAAGTGACAGGTTTTCACTCGATCTGGCCCCTGAAAGTGCTCTAGAACTGTGACCAAACACAAGTGCACCCCCCACTCCAGCGCTGCTGGGTGAACCCCAGAGCAGACCTCCCTTCCCCCGCCTTCTCTGCCTCCCCTCCTGAGTCAGAACAGGAGGGGAGTGGGGAGGGGGAGGGTAGAGATAGGGGAAGAGGCTGCAGACATGCAGCCTTTTTCTTGGATCAGCTCTAAATTGGAGCTCTATTCCCTGTGAGAGTCAGGGAGAGGTGGGAGTGGAGCTAGAGGATCGGTCTAACTCATAGCACTTTCTATGAAGTGCCATGAATTAGACCCTAGAGCTGCACTTCTGTCTGCCCCTATAGAGAATTTTTGGTATGTTATTTTCTTTATATCAGGTTCTTTTCAGGTATGACTGCTCGCTTGTTTCACTCTGAGATGGAGCAATATAATTGGAGCTCCAGTGTCTTTGTTCAGTGAGTAAAAAGTTCGGAAATGGAGTGGGCTACGGCAACCTATGAGAATTTCCTGCTCCAAATAGTAAGCAGCTGCTGCTCCAACATTTAAGGAGCCAGGGCCTGCCCTGTAGGGTCATAACACAGCTAAGTTCACAGGAGCTGCAGTGCCAGGAAGAGGCCATATTTCTGGACTCTTACTATCAAACCAGGCCCTGCAGCAGTTTCTTTCTCCCATAAAAAAGTTGACAAGGTGAAGTTAAGAAGTAAAAAGTTCAAGATAAATGAGAATCTTTCTCTAGCAGCCTCTTACATACAAAGAGGTCTAGGTGACCTTACATCAGCAAGGCATCTTTAGCTGCAAAGAGTCAGTGGTCCAGGTGGAAAATGGCAGATCTTTTCCAGAAGATTCATGTTACCTTCACTGAGGTCTACAAGACAGCTTCTTCTGCTTTCTTCGGTGCCTCTTCCCCTGCAGTCTCAGAAATATCCAGGGTCTTTAGCTTGTTTACTCACCCATTTTTCCCAAGATCTGAAAGCACATAATTCTTGAAGCCTACACACTGACTTCCTCTCTCAGCCTCAGTGTCTCTTCCTTTAAAAACGCAGAGTAAGCAATCATGACAGTCTTGGCCTCCTTGGACTTCCCAAAGAACAGCTAAACTTAGTTGAAATTACCTTTGTTATAGAAGGTAGAAGGCAAGGCAGGGTGTCACCTCAGAGACTTAACTGGTTCAGAGGCGTGAGCTTTCTTGGTAACAGCCCACTTTGTCAGATGCTATCATTGCATCATTTAGTAAGATCATTAATGCTATCGTTGCATCATTTTTTTCTTTTCTATGACACTCCATTACTTTTGACAGCATAGCAGATCAAACAGAGAAAGGGAATTTTTTTTTGCCTACTAATTCTATTTCTCTAGAATCTTTTCAAGTCAGATCACTGCTCTCTTCATAGCTCAGGTTTTTCTAACAAGGAGTTTTACGCTAGTGTTTGCTTAGTAAATAACACATGCTGCTTATGAAGATTCATCTCAGTTGTGTGAGCTGGCCAGTCACTTATGCACAGGATAGCAACACCCAAAAGTTCTGAATCCATTTAGTGCAGGGGCAGGCAATTATTTCAGGTGGAGGGCCACTTACCAAGTTTTAGCAAGCTCTCAAAGGCCACATGGGTAGCCCCACCCCTTGACAGCTGCCCTGCCCCCTGGTCACCACCTTGTGATCAGAAGTCCCACCCCTGAGCCACTGACCTTTTCCACCAGAAGTCCCTCCCTTTGCCCCTGGAAGTACTCCTTTTAGGAAGGAGTTTTGCCATCTTGGAACCAGAAAAATACCAAATTATATTCTAAAAAGCAAACATCTACCACATTTGTTAATCTGATTTCAAAAAATATATTTGTCATGATTTACATGTGTTTTCTGTTGTGTACATAGAGATGATTGCACAATAGCTTAAAATGAAGTCTTACTCTTATATGTTGTGAGGCAGGGTATAGGTTTGTGGGGGGGTATGTGGGTTGAGAGAGCATGTGGGTGGGTATGGGGTTTGTGGGGGGCTGTGTTTGGGGGAAGGGTTTCTGGGGTTTGTGTATGGCAGTGTGAGGGGGTGTGTGGGTGGGTGCATGTGCATGGTGGGGGGGTGGGATTCACCTATGAATGAACACACACACACACACACACACACACACACACACACTGCTCATGCCTGCACACGCACGCGCACACACTGCCTGTGTCTGCGTGCGCATACACACACACACACACACACTGCCCCTGAGCCTACGCGCTCCCCTCCCCCTGTACCAGCACAGTCCCGTGGTCTGGTGATGCAGCCAGGAGCCATGTGGTGCTGGAGCAGGGTGGCAGGAAAGCAGGGAACTGGTTGGAGGTGGGGTGGGGCTGCTCAAGCCTGCTGAGGGCTCCCTCTAGGTCCTACGGCCTCTGGCTTCTGTCAGCTTTGACAAGCTGCCAGGAACAAATAAATATTAATTTACTAAATGTTTTAGGGGCCCCGTGGGCCAGATAGAATGGCTTGGTGGGTTGGATCTGGCTTGGTGGGTCAAATCCAGTCTGCGGGCCATATTTTGCTCACCCTGATCTAATAGCAGGGGAGGACTTCACTACTACAGTATGGAAGAACATGGAGAGAGAAAATATGCAATGAACAATTTCTGCAAAATAAGTTGTTTTACGAATTGCATAGGGAATAACATTTGTTATTCAGGAACTGAAAAACAGGCTTGGTGCTAATTTAAACCTCTCAGTGCTGCATGACATTTCTTCATATATAAATAACACTGCAGAGACTAAAGCAGACTAGAAGCAATAGTGTATAGAATAGTGTTGAATAGTATTTAAATAGTTAATGCTTCACTTACTATCTTGCAGCAATTAAACATGACTCGTATGAAATCGCCTCCCTGCTGATCAAGTTTGGAGCAAATGTAAATTTACAGTGCGTCAATAAGAGGACAGCATTACATGAGGCAGCCAGACTGGGCAGGAAGGACTTGGTTAACCTTCTGCTTTGTTCTGGAGCTGATCCTGATCCCTGCAGTGCCTATGGGCTCACTCCCCTCGCTCTGGCAGCACAGATTGGGCATACAGAAATAATGGAAATCTTACTGAAAAAAGGTGAGAATTATTATAGGATCTTTACAGTTCAACATTCTGCTTTAGGAACTTCTGGTTGCCAGAAATAACCTAAAATTTTCTGTTAGCTCAAGGACTGAAATTATAGTCAAGTGCACTGAAAGAGATATTCCTGATTTCGAAATTTGAGAAAGCTTATCTTCCTTCCAGTCACGGGAAATCAAAAGGGCATGACTTGCCTGCAGAGGCAAAGAAGAACTGTTAGCTCACTTACCAATACAATATTGCATTGCCAAGAGTAATGTTTTGAGTGGCATATTACTACCTACATAGCACATTATGGTCAGATATCAGTATATACATTAGCTTTCTGTGAACTGCTTTGGCAGTGAATTATAGTCTAGCATTCATATTGTTGACTCCTCAGTAAGCTTGAAGAGTTTACCGCATAGGGTATACAGTATAAACTTTATTTGTACTTGGTACTCCTTAGGATTATTGCATAATCTATTCAATTTCAATACCATTTACGCTATCCATGCTATAGAAATTAAACCCCCTCCCTGGCCAGTTCACTTTGATCTAGTAGGGTTGGCCATGCCCCTGCTGCTGGAGCAGCCAGCGGAGACATGCAGGTCTGCACTGGTGGGAGAGGGGAGGAAGGGAGCGGGGAATAAACCTCTTCCCTGCCCCCTTCCTGGGCCAGCATCTAGCCAGGCCCCCGCCCCTGCCTGTCCCTCCTCCAACTAGGGAGCAGAGGGCTGGGGCAAGACCTGCTGGGCTGAAGCAGAGCACAGCCCAGAGAGCATCCTGGGATGCTGAGGGACTCTGGTTTAAGTTAAACCAGCAAGGGGTCTGGGACAGAAGTTGCATAAACCAGTTTGAGCTCAATCAGTTAAGTCTGATACTATATTCAACCACAGTTTTGGCCATTTTGAAACTGGTTTATGTGCACTGAACTTACGTTCTGTTACAGGTTTAAACCAGTTTCCGCTCACTTATTCCAGTTTATGAGTAATGTCTGTCCCTGGTCCCTTAGTCATAGTTCATTACAAGTTTTCAGACTTAAGATGGTGCTTCATCCTTTACATAGTTCTTAAATTTGTGGCGGTGGGGGGGGGAATAAGATAGCATTTTCCTTTCCTCTTAAATTTCATTAACTTTTCTACAAAAAGTTGCTTTGTAAGCATCAAATTTCTATCATTAAGACAGAAGCTGACAGCACTGAACATTGTCTTTATGTACACCAACCAAAAAAAAAAAGCAGTCAGCATCATAGCAGTTTGAGTGTTCCCAGCCATGTTAAAATGCAATGGGATTTTGTTGCACATGAGTATGGACATACATACATTTTAGCCACTTTAAAAAGGTAGGTCAACTGCTGCTGGGGAACACCCAGCAGCTGTTATGACCTTTTACATCTGCATGATCTTATAGCAATGCAAGTTAGCTAACCTGACCTAACTCTGAGTCTGAATGAACCAGAGTTAAAGTCTGAATTGTTTTGCTACACTTGGATATCACTACAGAATCATGCAGAACGTAGCAACTTGTATCGGTATCCTTTGATATCAATACAAGTTGTTACTAGGGCTGCGCGAAATTTTGTCAGCTGTTCGTTTTGATGCTGTTTTGTTGCGTTTTGAGCTTGAAACAGCGAAATTTAAACGAAACGAAGGGCTTTGAAACAGCCTTGAAACAAAATGAGGCCAGTCGAAACGTTTCAAAAGTTCTGAAACGTTTCAAATTTTGCAGCAGCCAGCTAGGTGGTGGGAGACAGGAGAGCCAGGGCTGCAGCCCCATGTGGCTCAGCCCGGCAGGGAACACAGCCATGGTTCTCCCTGCCTCCTGCCACCATGCTGTGCACCGATCAGCTCTGCCAGCCCCATGGAGCTCAGCCCAGTGGTGGAAGGTGGGCAGAGCCGGGGCCTCCTGTCACTGCTAAGTTCCACGGGACTGGGAGCTTCCCCCCACTGGGCTCAGTTCCCACTGCCGGGCTCAGTTCCCAGTGGCTCACAGAGCTGGGGAACTCAGCCAGGCTGAGGGAAGCACCTCCCCCAGCTGGGCTGAGTTCCCCAGTGCTGTGAGGGGCTGGGAACTCAGCCTGGCTGGAGGAGATGCTTCCCCCAGCCAAGCTCAGTTCCCCAGCACAGGATCCCAGGCAGCAGGAGCAGCGACCTGTGATCTGACAGGCAGATCGGGGGCCTGCTCGCACCCCCAGGAGGGCTGCAGGGGCTCTGCCAGACTCCTCCCAGGGGTGGATCACAGGACACTGTGACTCCTCCCAGTCCGGCAGATCTGCCTGCTGGATCACAGGACACTGCTCCTGCTCCCCGGCTCCTGCTTGTCAGCAGCTTGAGGTGCAGTTTCCTAGAAACCCCTGCATCGATCTCCTTGAAACTCAGCAGGCTTCATGGCCTCAGAAGGGGCTACCATCCCTCCAAGTTTAATCAGAATCAGGCAAGAAATGACAAACTTATAGGCTGTTTCGTGCTTCCCCATTATAGCCTATAGGCAAAACCTCAAAACAGCGAAACCATTTCAATGAAACGGAATGGAACAGTGATTTCGAAACAAAACAAAACTCAAAATGAAACAGTGTTTCGTCAAAACATCGAAATGGAAGTCGAAGAGGAATCCTGCTGTTTCGCACAACCCTAGTTGTTATCTCTATCTATACCCTCTGAAATATGCTTATGGGGTGAATTATTTTATAGCCTTCGATATGCAGTGCTGGAAGTGAAGGGGTTGCACGCAGTCCCCTAAAGTCTTAACTGTTTTGACATGGAATTGTCACCAGGGTGTGCGCATGCATTCTCTCTCACCTGCAAAGGCAATGTAATTGGAAAATGACAGTGGCTTTTTAAATGAACCACTTTCCATTTGGAGTCTGCTTGTCTTTGTGTATGAAAAGTATTTTCTTCTTTTTTTTTTAAATCTGTTCTGTTGCTTGGTATATTTTTTATTTTTCCTTTTATGCATGTATTGTCTGCAAGACAGAGTAGAAGTCATACCAATCTAGCCATTTGGGAGCTGGGAACAGAAGGTGGATACTTGCAAAGATTGCTGTGAAAATCCTTGCTCCCTCTTCCCAGGTGCTGATGTCTTTTCACAGGCCTTTGATTGTGCTTCAATATTATTTGAAGCTGCCGGAGGAGGAAATCCAGATTCAGTGGCTCTTTTACTGGAGTATGGGGCTGATGCCAATGTACCAAAGCACTCGGGTCACTTGCCTATCCATAGAGCTGCATATAGAGGACACTATTTGTGAGTTGGACTGTACTTGAAAATTAAGAATTGGGAATGATGAAGGAGCTTTAAATGCATTATTCTATCAGACACACCCATAAGGTAGGGAATTACCCCCACTTTACAGATCAAGAAAGAGAGAGACTAGCCAGTGTTGGCTTTTTCATTATAGATAAATCAGTGCCCAAAACAGGAAGAGAAATCCTAATTCTTAACCCCTAGTGATACTACATTATAGTCAACCAAGCAGGAACCGCTC